CACAGCCTATGCGAGATCAAAACATCACTAAAAAGAGTCCTGCAGTGGTGCACTGTGATGTCAGTGACATTCCACAATGCATTAATGCAGGGACTATGAGAGGTCATAATGCATCACTACATGGTTTCATAATCACCTGCAATTATGCTTTAAATCCCCTAAACTCAAGAGATCGTGCTTTAAAATAATCCAAACCTCGCTGCAAAACTATGCGATCCTGAAATAATGAAATAAATGGCTAGAAACTGGGTATTTTATAGTGGTTGACAAATTTGTTGGTGTTTTTAATGGGTGGTACAGACATTTAGAAAGCAACTTCAAAATGAATTTTTGGGTGAATTAACCATTTAATGGTAACAAATTGCTAAATAACTTTTTTTTTTCATTTAAAGCAACATATAGCACACTAATTGCTCTAATCATTCACTTAAAGCAGTCTGAGGTTTACTGCCTTGCACAATGATAATATGGACACAATCTCAGTAATTAGGCAATTAAACATGCACCTTTTGATCATTAACCAGATCAAAGTTAAACAGACAAACACTTAAAAAAGCCAATAAATACACTACCATTCAAAAGTTTGGATTTTTCAAATAGAAATTAACACTTTTATTCAGCAAGTACACATTAAACTGATCAAAAGTGACAGTAAAGACATTTATAATAGTCATTGAAATAAAATATTTCTATTTTAAATACACGTATCAGTTTCCAACTAAAAATTAAGCAGAACTGTTTTCAACACTGATAATAAAAATACATTTTTGTAAACAGCAAATCAGCATATTAGAATGATTTCTGAAAGATCATGCGATACTGCAGACTGGAATAAATTCAGCTTTGCATCACCGGAATAAATTACATTTTACGATATATTCAAATAGAAAACAGTCATTTTAACTTGCAATAATGTTTCACTGTTTTTACTGTATTTTTGATCAAATAATGCAGCCTTGGTGAGCATAAGATACTTCTTTAAAAAACATTAAAAATGTTACAAACTCCAAACTTTTGAAGCTACAAATTCAAACATACACAAAATGACTAAACAGGACTCTACCTGAATTGGCTCCTGGGTCAGTCGCATTGGCCCCAAACGCTCTTCTGCTGCAGACACCTGGTAGAGATCGAGAGAAACAGGTGTGTTTCATTGAAATGAGGTTAAAAAAGGAAACAAAAGCAAGAATGCATCTGGTCTTACCATCTCAGAGCCCTGGAGCAACATTATGACATGCCTGTCCTGTTTTTAATCACATATTGACATGTGTTTGAGTGTCCATGAATGCAACCATTTACGCAAACTAGACAAGACAAAATCGGTTCACCGAAAAAAATTATGTTTCACAGGTTGAATTAATGATGGTAGATGTAGCCGTCCTGATCAGCACGAACTCCAATCCAAGTGTGTTATTCAGCTGATTTGAACACGATTATCCATATTCCTACTGTCAAACAGTTCTAACGCTTTGTCAGATATGAAATATGTTGCAAAAAAAGGCTGTTTTTATGGCGTCGTCCAAATGGTTTGGCGACATTGTTGCAATGACAGAGAGCAGGTGGCTCAAAGCTTCCTGCGTCATCCACTTTAACACTACACATAAGCCTCTCAGCAGGAATCACACACTCACACACACACATGTACAAAAAGCCCTTGGGCTAAATACGGATCATAATCACTATAAAAGCAGCATATGTAAGGCACATTTAATTTTGCTAAGTAAAAAGAGATGAGTAAAGACATTTAGATGCACTGCACTGCTTTGTTTTTTCAGTAAAAAGATATAAATATTAAATCAACATTTTCTCTTATGTAAATGGCACAGCATGAATTTGCTTTGGTCATTTGCCTGTTTTATGTTCATTTTAAGTGTTGAGAGGCCATCTAGAGTCAAGAGCTTCTATTCCTGTGACCATACACACACACACAGATCTGTTTAATTGAACAGTCCAACAGTTATAACACAATCACAATCTTTACAGCTGCAGAAGCGCAATTACAGTTTCAACAAATGCAATTAACTATTACTCTACAATTGTCACATGTGGTAAAACACACTGAATCTCTCTCTGCATATCCTTTAGTTGAGCAGCAATCCAGAATTCCTTCACAGACCCTGACGAAAACATTATTATTATTTTTTTTAAATTAACAAAAACTTGCTTGTTTTATTTTGCACACTAGTCGCTTGAAATTTATTGAGACTAATGTCAAATTACTGTGAAAAGAACCTAAAACAAAAAGGTATTGTGGCATTACCAGAGTAAAATTATAGTAGGCCTATCGTGTAATATTATGGTATTTTGATATATAGCATGAATGACTACTATAATTATGTCATGGTATTTACATAATAAATGTAAGTCTGAGATACTTAAAAGAATGCCATGGTGCTACCATTTACAAAAATATGTATTTTCACGACCCCCCCCCAATACCATGATATTGCCATGGTACAGAGGGTTTAAAAAAAACAAGAGCAATCTAAAGGGGTTGTTTAATACATTTGTTATTAACTTATCACTTTAAGGTCCACTTAAAATAATATAATATAATAATATAGTACACTTTTTTACATTATGTAAGTTACACTACAGAAAATAAGATTTTTCATACTAGGACTCGTTTAAAAGTGACAATTGGAAGAGACAGTCGGCATCAATGCTGCTTTTTATTTTCTAGCTAAAGGCCATTACCAAAACCACTGTTACACAAGACAACACAAGACACACAAAAAAAGTCCACTGGAAAATCCTGTTTTCAAATACACTTACTTAAAATTTTAAAATTGAAAACTGCATTCTCTGCAACTCTGCAACTGATGATTTTCAACTCTCATAAAACATGCTCAGAAGGTTCAGCTTATATTCAAACACTTCTGTTACATTTTCATACATTTTTCCAAACAAATCTTTTCCGCATTCTTTGCTCTTCTTCTCTAACTCACGACCCCATGCTTGAGGTTTCTCACTTCCTGGCACTGACGTTACATCTCATTTCCTAGAAAGCAACACACACACACACGTGTTGGTATATGTGGTTTACGGGCATTCTCCATAGGCGTAATGGTTTTTATACTGAATAAACTATTTTTTTATTTAGGAAGTGTCCTCGTAAACCATGTTCACGTCATCATACCTATATGTTATTATACAGATTTGTGTCCTCATGAACCATATAAACCTGTATACACACACAACAGCTAAAGCTTGAGTTTTAAGTCCACAAAATTCCTAAATCTACCATGCAGAATTTACTGTGACTCTTCACATATAATCTAACAGCTGCCGTCAGATTAATTATTATAGGTGATCTGCATACGTTTTTCTGCCCATTTTATTATCTACCAGGCAAAAAATCTGATCATTTAAAGCAGTTTGATCAAGTAATATCACACATTTACTATGGAGTTCATGTTTGTAGCAAAACCGTGAAGGAAAAATAAAATGTCTGAAGTCTAAAAACACTCCTGTCCCAAACTCACATCACTGGTTGAACCAGACGTTGACCACAGTCAAAAAAACTGCACAGAGCCACACTGTTTGCACTTTTTGGATATTAACCTACCAATGGTTTACTTTTAGTTGTCTCTACACATTAAACTAAGGTCGAATATATACATACATGATACATTTCACCTTTAGGAAATGACGAATGCAGCAAAATAATGTGATGGTCAGTTGTGATAGAGATCATACAGCTTTTGATGGCTGCGTCAATAAACAAACCAAGCATTTTACTACTTCAAATGTCGTTTAATTATCTTTAAACGACTCCACACGCTTCATTTCAGTCCCTCTTCAAAGAGAGACGGTGGATTTAAGCTCTTCTGATGCTGCATCATGCTGCAGATCTCTCCAGGAAAAAAGACCTGTGCTGTTCTCCTAGCCTTCACACACACACACACACACACACACACACACACACACGCATCTTGCTGTGGCATAACACACAAACTTACAAACAGTCGCATTACAAAGACTTTATTAATAAAACTTAATTATTACAACATTATTATTACCATCAATGTTGAAAACAGTTGTGCTGCTTAAAATTTTTGTGGAAAGGATTCTTGGATGAATACAAAGTTATTCAATCAGAGCTTGTATTGAATATTTCAAGTACAGAAATTGTACTTGAAATATTTCAATCAAAATATTTTTTGTAACATTATAAATGCCTTTACTTTACTTTTTTTAATGAATGCACCAGTAACATTTTATTTAAAGCCTTTATGAAAAATGCATTATAAAGGGTTATTAAAGGGTATAACGCATTGTAATACATTATCTCTTGTTGTAAATAATTATAACCAAATTTAAAATGCATAGTGCAACAATGAATTGATAAGTGTTATAATGTATTAAGGTTATAATTATTCATTGCAAGGCATATCCTAATTAATGCATTAAAACTACTTTTAAAATGCATTAAACATAAAGGCTTTAAAGTGTTACCATCACACCCTTGCTGAATAAAAGTATTAATTTCTTTAAAAATACATTTTTTTTACTGACCCTAAACATTTAGTGTAGGGTATAAAATAAATTTTAAAACATATAACAATAATAATAATACTATTTTACTTTACACAAAACTTACAAAATATATCTGAAAACAATTTACAACATTTGACCCTATTTTTTGTATAACTGTCATAAAATAGCATTTAAAAATGCAATCCAATCAAACAGGTCCTTCACAAGATTTACATTTGAAAAGAGTAATGCTTGTCTGAGAATATGGAGGACAGATGCCTTACGGATATGAAATTACATCGCTGCATTTATAGATATGATTAAGTTACTTTTGTTATTTTAATCTTATCTTAAACTTTCATCTCCTGTATTTTCAAGCATCCCGAGTCTCTCTCTCTCTTTCTCTCGTAGTGTGTTCCTCTTCCTAGCACATTGTGTGTGATTTGACTCAGTCATGTGCTTTTATTGAGGACAACGAACACACACACAGAGACCTAAAACCACATGCAGAACAAAGGCCTTCCTTCACAGAGTACGGGGTCATGATAAAATATGATCCCCACTATATTTAGAACCCCCAGATGACAGTAGGCAAGTAGCAGCGCTGCGGCTTTATTGATTCAGATTAACTTATCACATGTTACATAAGATATCACCTAGATAGTGTTTCTGTCCAGTGAACTCAGAGGAACCACTCGGTAGTCCACAAGGAGATGCTAGAATCAAAGCACATTCTCGAGTGCAAACAAGGTTGACTTTTTCTTAAATATTATATGTAGTTTGTTTAATATTTTTATGGAAACTGTGATACATTTTATCTCAGGATTCTTTGATGAATATAAAGTTCAACAGCATTTATTTGAAATACAACTTTTTAAAATAATTTTATAAACGTCTTTACTGTTACTTTTTAGCAATTTAACACACCCATGCTCATTTTTTCCTAAAAAATAAATAATACAATCATGTTTTATTTTATGTTTATTTATAAATGTTATATTTAATTTCACAAGTTATTTTGTTTCACTTTCACAAGACTTTTAGTAAATTTCACAAACAGCAATTAACAAACTGAATTAAACAAAAGATTGTAAAGAAGAAAAAATGAAATAACATTTTCTTGATAAACATACATCAATAATCTTTGTTTTATTTACAACTTTAAAAAATATTTTCTTACATTGTAGTCAAAAAAGCCATTAAAATACGTCAGTTAATGCGTTTTATATTAAGCTATAAATAGATGATCTAAATATAAATTGCTTTTTTTTTAATTTAACAATGGTTTACTGAACAAATTGCTCTTTCTTTAAATAAATTCAATTATAATTAAAATTTTCTTAGGGATAAAAATCTACTTCAGCTTCTGTTCTAAAATATAGGGAGCCCTTCTATAAGGTTACAATTAACAACAGAGCCCAAACTTAAATTCAGTTATTATTTTTAACTATAATAATCAACACTCAAATTAACAAATTTTATGCAAACATGTAAACTGATTTTAAATTATACAATTTCTTTTGTCATAACTTGTTTCATAAAATATTTATTTAAACATATACATTAAATAATTAAGACATCACTAACAGGTAAAGTAAATATAATGAAGTATAGTCTAATATTTCACAAAATGCTCTTTAC